AAACACTAGCTGGGTGTGGTGGTGTGTGCCTGTAGTCCTAGCTACTTGGGAAGCTGAGGCTGAGACAGGAGGATCACTTGAACCCAAGAGTTTGAGGTTGCAGTGAACTATGATGATACCCCATTCCGCTCTAGGCCGGGGTGACAGAGCAAAATCCTGTCTCAAAAAATAATAATAATAAAATAAAATAAATTGGCAATATCAATACAAACTCAAATTTTTTCTGCGTAGCTATTTATTAGTTCTGTCCACTGAAAAGGGCTAAAAGAAAAGTAACCCAGTAGTAGCAACAAGTACTCTCAATGTTCAGACTTTCATCTCTAACTACCATTTTTTCATAAAGGGAACCAAAGCTCCCTTGAGAAATGGCTAATTCCAGAAGCAGTAAGCAGTGAAGCAGTGAACATATACGATGAGCCTGGGACAGCTAACAAAGATGACAAAAATCATATCAAAAGGACTCAGGAGCCTTTTTGAAGGTTTGAAAAGGTTCCTTCTAACCAAAGATGGGCAAATTTGAGCAAAAAGAAAAATGATAGCAAACAATTAAAATACTAAGTATTTTTAACAGTCATGATTTCATGATACTTTAAAAAAAGGAAAGAATTAAATCTACCAAAAAGCAAGTCAATATGTATTGAACCTAATTAAATTTGCTAGAGTATAAAGTCAGTACTCTAAAAATGGATAAAGAGAAAGAATTAAATATTTATCTTGCATAAATATTTTGTTTACTTATCTTTTACTTCTGGTAAACAAAGGGCCCTAAAGGATGAGGGAACGTTCATACAGAATAATCCCAGCTAATAATTGCAGAAATAATGATGAAAATAGAAAAAAAATCATCATTTTTTATTTTATAATGAAATAACTGATTCAGGCCATGGTTATCAAGGAAGGGTGAAACCACCAGGTGAAAGGCTGATAGGGACCTTTATCACGAAGGGGTTGGACTTTCGCTACCTGAACCACAGATCAATCTCAGCATTACTAAAAGCAAGACATCTAGACAGTAGTTGCCTTTCTACTGCGACACTGTACCACTGTCTACTCCCCAAAGTTGAGCCTGAATCTAATCAAGCCTTTAGATGTAAGTTCCAGCCTACGGGAAATAGGACAGAGTAACAAGTTAAATAAGTATAGGAAGCAATCAGCCAAATCCAGGATGTGGTTTATTTTCCATCATAACTGACTGGTTTCTTCAAAAAGTCACTGAAATATTAAAAGATGGGGGAGAAGGGGAGGAGAAACTGTTTTAGAGTAAAAACAACTTGAGAAATCTAAGAGCCAAATACAGTAAGTAGAGTTTATTGATTTTTGAGTAAAACAACTATAAGAAACATTTAGTGAATTGGTAAAATCTGAGTATAGACTGAGTAGGTATTAAAGGATATTAAAGAAGTACTATTAATTACACTAGGTATGGTAATAACATGGTGTTATGTAAGAGAAATTAATCTTTTTTTGAGATGTATACCTAAAGTACTTTGAGGGTGTAGTGAAATGATTTCTTTTATAATACCCACAAAAAACTAAAAGGGGGGGAAATAGACATACAGACAGATGAATGAAACAAGTACGGAAATATATTAATGCTTGCTGAAGCAGGCAGTAGGTACATAGCAGTTCGTTATTCTATTTTTGTGTACATTTGGAAAAGTAAAAACATTAACAACAACAACAACAACAAAAGAGCCCATGGATGGAGATCTAAGATCCAAAACCCACAAGATTTGAGGAATATATGGTAGTTACTCTTACCTTAAGAGAAAACCAGAAAAGAGAAACTAAGTCTCTTATACGAGGGAGCCAAAGGAGAAAGCTTGCTAGGTAAAGTATATGCTAACGTGCACAGAATGAGAGGAAAGGAAGGCTGCATTCTAATTTGGGTCTTCTCAGACATCTGTGCCCCACCTAAGAAAACTATGGGGAGTGTTTCCACTTAGGAAGGAGGAGAAGCCGCAGGTTTGCAAAAAGAGCCTAATTTGGAAGACAGCTGCTTACAAGAAGGAAGACTGCTTTATAAACAGAACTAGTATATCTAAATTTTATCCTAGAAAGCAGAAAGATTGAGTTTAAACTAAAGATAAGGTTATTACAAACTTACTCAAAGTTTAAAACTGGCCATTAACCCTTAAAAGTAAACATTATTTTAAAAGAGTGATGCTGGGCGCAGTGGCTCATGCCTATATTCCTAGCACTCTGGGAGGCCGAGGGGGGTGGATTGCTCGAGGTCAGGAGTTTGAAACCAGCCTGAGCAAGAGCGAGACCCCCTCTCTACTATAAATAGAAAGAAATTAATTGGCCAACTAACACATATATAGAAAAAATTAGCCGGGCATGGTGGCACATGCCTGTAGTCCCAGCTACTCGGGAGGCTGAGGCAGCAGGATTGCTTGAGCCCAGGAGTTTGAGGTTGCTGTGAGCTAGGCTGATGCCAGGGCACTCACTCTAGCCTGGGCAGCAAAGCGAGACTGTCTCAAAAAAAAAAAAAAAAAAAGTGGGAACTAGTTCAGAAGCATACTTTCTTCTAAAATTATAGAGATATAAACAGGTATAATTATTCTTTCTTGGTGGAAAAAATACAGAACTCTTTTCTTGAAAGAAGCTGAACAGCACTATTATACTGTGATAGTTAAAAGGCATACATGCACATAAACATAACACATATACACTCACAAAACACACAAACCCTGTCATACAAACACTCACACATGACACAGATTACTTTAGGCAATGCTAAAAATGTGTTTGTGTATTTTGGCATCCATGTTTAAATGTTTTTATGTCTATCAGGGATTGATATGGCTATTCTTTACTTTCACTGTGCATATTAAGTTAATTTACAGTTAATGCTCTAAAATAATTCAAAGCTTCTGTTTTTTTCAGCTGACATCATAAAAAAGTTTTTAGCCAACAGGGACATAAAATAAACTGGCCATCTTGGGAGAATAATTCAAATACGAACTCATTTAATTGATAGTCATAAAACATCTGCCCCTTGTTTTGTGCCAGACATGCTGGTTGTTCTAACAAGATGAATATAAGAGGACAGAGGAAAAGACACTCTGCCCCCATTCTCTCCAGAATTCGCAGTGGAATGGTAAGAAAAAGCAGGAAACTGAAACACTAATTCAATCTTTGAAGAACCCAAGAGCCGAAGGTAACTAAGCAGAGTCTCCTCACAGGCCAACCTTGGAGACACACATGAGTGGGGGCGTCAGGTGTGGCACAGCAAGCCTACTGTGCAGGTAGTTACACCTTCAGGTCCTTGTCTCTCTTCTTCCACATCTGTAGGAGATGAGAGAGTTATTCAGAAATTAAACCAAAGAGGCCTTGGGCTTGGAACACCAAAAACTGCAGAGTGTAGAGATAAGAATGGGAAAAAAATCCAAGGAAAGTAAATGAAAGTATGCTTACTGAATATTGTGACATCAGCCCTGGGAACATTGGGTTCCCAGAACATTTGCAGCCAGGCATACTACCCTCACCCCACTCCACCCCCAGAACGAAACTGGGAGATCTTTCTTAGAAAAAGCTGCACAACCCCAAAGGGAAAGATCTATAAACATGAAACAGAGGGCTCCTTGAGCTCATTCTCCAACCATCTTTTAGTGAGGCAAACTGATTCCGTGCCCTTTCCGCAAGCACAGGACTCCCAATAAGCTCTAGAGTACCTAAATTGTACATAGGAACAGATGGCCAAGGATCACCAGACATTTGAGAAAACAGAAACAGTGCAAAGAGTACGAATGAAAACTTGAACAGCAACAACAAAATTCTCTAATTGATAATCCCAGAAAGTCACAAAAATACCTTGTTTATAAAACAAGAACAGTATGTTCCCCCCAAAAGGACAGCGAAGGCTCTTGGAAATTAAAAAAGGAAATAAAAATTTTAAAAATTAATACGAAGGCTAAAACATTAGGAAATCTATCAGGAAATACACCCAAAATACAAAAAGATAACAGGATAATTCATTTAACAAATTAGTGCTTAACATTATTATGCAAACTAGTATATAACAGTAATTTACTAAACTGATTATTAAAGTAAACACAATCAGAGAAAGTGATAAAACCATATTAGGAAGACAAGAGAACTAAACTTCATCTACCACAAAAGGAAGCCAGTTGAGAGCTTCTAAAATCAAAGAATCAAGAGGTTAGTATAAGGATATTGTTTAGAATCATGAAAGCAATCCAACACTGAAAAGTTGAAAGTGATGATCTCTAGGCATAGGATCAAAGCACTGGAAAGAAGTGAGATACGATTGTTTTAGCACTATGTGATTTCTAAAGTATGTGCATATAGCTCACTGTGGAAAAAAAACAGAAATTAATGTAAAAAAGTCAATATGACAATGTCCCTGTTCTTAAGGAGTTTATACATTGCTGAAAGACACTACAGAACAACAATTACAGGAACACAGAATAAATGATCCCACAGAAGCATAAACCATCATATCTCACTCAAATGAGTAAGGTTTCCGAGAAAAGGGGACACTTGAACTGGGGTTTTAAACAGTTTAACAGAAAATTAACTGGTCAGAGAAGGGATGATGGGTGTTTCTTATTATGCATGTAAGTTTTCTTTCTAACAACAAATGATAGCATTTTATAAACACACTTTTGCGTCTCACTTTTTTTTAAACTTAATACATCTTAGAGACTTTTTCAGATGCTTATGAGACATGCCTTTTTTTAAAAAATGCTTCTTATAAAAAATTCAACAGGATTAAAAATTTTCGCTTGACCCCCAATTCCTACTTCCCAGGATACGCACATTAAATTTCCTCCTAGATCTTTTTCTATACAAATGAAAATACATAGAAATACTATTCAATACAAGCAAATGTGAAAATATAATATTCTATATGCTTACTATATTTTATACATGTACTTGTTTACATATTAATACATGAGTATTATTTAAAGTCTCTTAAAGTCAAGGATTCCATGATAAGAAATGCTACAAAATGCCACTGCATGTCAACTTACCAACACAGTCACAGCACTCGTCCCAAAGGGCCCCCAGACACAGCATGCACTCCTTACAACAGGAACAATTGCCCTCGCCGGGCCGGCACTGGCAGAGCTCCTAGAAATGTGACAGACATTTAAACCTCAAATTCCAAATAACTATGTCTAAGATTGTTACTTTCTAAGCAAATCCTCCCACAATATTTGCATTTATAGTAATTTATTCTTGACACCATCTTTATTTTTTTATAAATTTTAAAGGTAACTTTCCTGTGCCTCTTATAAAGAAAGTGACTAAAAGGGCAGGAACTTACCAAAAAGTATAGATGCTTAATCACAAACTGGTCATGCCTGACTCAAACAAGCTCAAACTTGTTTGGACATTTAGAAAAGCAGAGCTGCAAAAGCTATACCTGTGACTTATTTCTCCATAAAAACCTGTCTGTCCTGTCTTTGGAGTAAGAGAACATTTTCTGTGCTCACAGTTTTTAGAAACAGCATTAAAGTTAAGGATACTGATAATTTTTATTTTGTAGTTTTATAAAGGTTGCCACTCCTTAGTGGCATGATGAAGACAAAAGAAAAAGAAAAATAAAATAAATAAAATAAAAAAGGTTGCCCACTTAGTTATAAGAAATAAAACTTTAAAATTTTAATTATATGTAGAAAATATCTCTTTACTACTTATTTGCTTATACAAGTTGAGTCTTCCTTATTTGAAATGCTTGGGAATAAGAAGTGTTTAGGATTTTAGATTTTTTCAGATTTTGTAATATTTACATTATACCAGTTGAGCATCCCAAATCTGAAAATCTGAAATCTAAAATGTTCCAATGAACATTTCCTTAGAGCGTAATGTCAGTGCTCAAAAAGTTTCAGATTTTGGAGGATTTGGGTTATTTAAGCTAACTCAGGAGAAACAAATTAGAAAAGTAACAAATTTATTCGAAGAATATAGTGCCTCTTTTTATGCAGCTTCTAAATGATAACTTGGTAAACTAATTACTGTATATTATACTAAATAATTAACAAATGAATGTAATTTATTAGCTTCCATTAGAGAAATCGGAGTCTCTGAAGCAATTCATTATGCCTTACCCTGTTAGGTATTTGTGAGGTGTTTTAAACTGGAATGAAAGAGTGGGTAACACTGTAAGATTATGCTAACTAATGAATGGAAAGTTAAAACTAACAGCTTAATTAAAAGTTGCTTGAACCTGTCTGGGTTATCTAACTCTGAAGATTAAATGTTCTTCACACCCTCTTAATAGATGCCTGTGTTGCACTTTTACCTGTTATTATGATAAGGTACTGCAGTAATATGCTTACTGATTTATAATTTAGTGATAGTATAAAAAATGAAAAGCTATAGGAAGGAGAAACACAGCCGGGCGCGGTGGCTCACGCCTGTAATCCTAGCACCCTGGGAGGCCAAGGCGGGCGGATGGTTTGAGCTCAGGAGTTCAAGACCAGCCTGGGCAAGAGTGAGAGCCCGTCTCTACTAAAAATAGAAAGAAATTAATTGGCCAACTAAAAATATATAGAAAAAAAACTAGCCATGCATGGTGGCACATGCCTGTAGTCCCACCTACCCGGTAGGCTGAGGCAGAAGGATCACTTGAGCCCAGGAGTTTGAGGTTGCTGTGAGCTAGGTTGATGCCATGGCACTCTAGCCTGGGCAACAAAGTGAGACTGTCTCCAAAAACAAGATAAACTTTTAATACAGTACTATAAAAAAGACAAAAATCCAGGTCAAGACTTTGCTGGTAAAAAATTACTGCTAAACTGGTTGGATGCCAAGCAACAATATCTTAGCTAATATATTTTTTTCTTTCCATCTTACTACAGAAATGACTAAAAACCTTTGTCTTAAAACAAATTTACTTACATAAATTAAGAAATTTTAGTAATTTGAGTAAATAAGTCTTCAAATATATAAAACACTCGCCATTCTTCATAACTCATATCAGCATTCTTTTTTTTTTTTCTTTTTTTAACAACACTCAAGTGTAATCTAAGCATTCTTTTTAGGATTTCAGGAAATAAGAAAAATGAGATCCTCAAACCAACTTTTTGGTCAGCACTCACGCCTTTTCAATTTTCAAAAACACAATTCTCACTTTCTAGGAGAAAAATACTATATAGTTAGAAGATGAAGAAAAAATACCATATAGGAAAATTTAATAGTTGGCATTTAGGATCTCAGAAATCTCACTGCAAATCAACAGAGCAAAAATATACAGAAATCATCTGTTTCATAACTATTGTTTTTAAGTCAAGAAACAAATTGAAACAATGAATTTCCATGTGTAAATAATTATGAATAGCAACCATATGTAGCTCATTAAGTAATTCATTCTTTTCTATTCACTCTACATGTCTTTAAAAATCACATTATTGAATAATGTTTGGTCATAAACATACTTGGAAATGTATAATTTTTTTGACAACAAGCAAATTGTGGTTAGGATGAATGTTTCTAAGTACAATAAACATTTGTAAAGTGCTTTGAACTGAAGTACTGGAAATCTAAAAGAAAAAAACAACTCAAAATGTAACTCTCTGCAATGAATCAAGGATTAAAAAAAACAAAACAAAACAAAAAATTACTCCATTTAAATCAAGCAGAATCTTTTCTTCAGGACACTTAAAAACAAAAATTTACCCTTAGCTATTTTAGTTATAAGGACATAAATCAATCTTCTATACCCAGAAAGGCTAGAGTCAAGATTTTAAAAAGGCTTTAAAAAATTTTAAACTGTTTTTTAAATTATAAAATATTTCGGAAAATAACCTACTAGAGTAGAAGAAAAAATCCCCAAGGTCCTCTCACTTTGGTAAATTCTTATGCATTTCTAACAAAATAATGATTATATAGTATACTGATCTAAAAAAAATAAGCATTTACCTATTGTAAAAATCCGTCAACATAATAGCTGCATAATAGTACATCCAATGTGCCAAAATTCAGAAATAGTCCTTAAATTCTTAATTCCTTCCATACCTTGTCCACTTTCTCATTCTTTATTATCATCTTCAAAAACTTTGCTGGCTTCTATTTTACTACTGTTTCAGAGTTTCTACTTCTTAAATAGAAAATATGTAGAGATGAACTTTAGACTTTTCTCTTTGGACTGAATTATTTATATATTTTACTAACCTCACTATGACTAAACTTGGGTACTGCTCAGTTAAATGGAACATGTGATCAAAACCAAACACCAAGTTCACAGCAATCCAAAATGAAGACTAACTCAATGCTTCCAATTATTTATTACCCCAAAATACTTAAGTAGGTTCTACTTAACACTAATAGGCACTGTGCTAAGTGTTTTATATGCATTATCTTGAATCTCATAAAGCCCCCATCAAGGTAGTTATTATCCTCACTTTTCAAATGAAATTATGAGATTTATACATCATTCAATTAGTAAGTGGCTGGTCTGTGACCACTGTGTTGGTTAGATATTGTTTTTTAAATATTTCTCATTAATTTAACATTTCAATAATTATATATTTATTATATATATAATTATTATTCTTTCTTAGAGAGAATACGCCCATAATTAAACTTAGATAATCCTTTAGGTTGTTAATCAAAGGCATTATTATATCTTTCAGTCTCAGTACCTGAATACAATTAGAAATGCTACTGCCCAAGCTTAATCATTGTTTGTAAAGGTAAAACAGGTATGATTGATTAAGAGTTGTAAAACCAATAACTTGGAATGCAATACTTAATTCTTTCGTTGCTTCAGCCACTTAAGGCCTGTATCATCTGCTTCCCTAGTCTGCAAGTTGCAGAGAAAGTGTGGTTGTTCCTTATTATACAGAAGAGAGGTTGAGAATGAATGGTTTAGTAATTCCTCTTGATTCACACAACACAGCTTTGATACCAGGTTTTCTGACTCAGGCTTTTTCTACCACCACTGCTCTTGCATGTCAGAGTCAGGGTAATATGGAATAAGATACATATTCTATGTGTGAAACACTATGCTAGCTGTTCTTAAAATCTGCTAATAAGCACATTGTTCAATAATTTTATGGTGGAAAAAATCAAAGTTTTATACTAAATGGAAAATTGAAATTTATACATTTGGACTATCCCCTATTGACCAGTATGAGTATTTAGAGAGAATTTGGCAAGCTGTCTAAAAAGCTTATATGAAATGAAAATCTGGCAGGATGAAAAGCCTGAAGGAGGAGTCTAATTACTTAAATGTATTTTACTACATGTATATTAGGAAAAACCTGAATACAGCAGAGAATTTCAAAATTTTGAATGCCAGAAGACAAAGGCATTAGAAGAAAAAAACCCCAAGTTCCTCTCACTTTGGTAAATTCTTATGCATTTCTAACAAAATAATGATTATATAGTATAATGATCTAAAAAAATAAGCATTTACCTATTGTAAAAATCTGTCAACATAACAGCTGCATAACAGTACAACTATTATGAATAGTACAACTATTCAATCAATTTTAATGGCAAATCTTGTTCTGTATACAGTCATGTATTGCTTAACTATGGGGATATGTTCTGAGAGCACTGTAAAGCATTTTTGTGGCTGTGCAAATATCATGGAGTATACTAACACAGACCTAGATGGTATAGCCTGCTACACAGCTACACTATTATGGTGTGGCCTATTGCTCTTAGACTATAAACCTGTACAGCATGTTATTGCACTGAATACTGTAACACATAACACAATGGTAAGTGTGCATCTAAACATGTTATTGCACTGAATACTATAACCATAACACAATGGTAAGTGTGCATCTGAACATATCTAAACATAAAGAAGATACAGTAAAAATATGGTATTATAATCTTATGGGACTCCATTGCACATGCAGCCCATCATTGACTGAAATGTCATTATGCAGCACACCATTGTACAATTAATGTTCTGGTGAGATCTTAATCCTCTATGCAAAATAAATGGGAGGAGGGGTATTTATCTAAGACAAAGACTAGACTTTCAGAGTTAAAATTTATTGTATGAACTTCCACATTTCCAGGCAAGACATGGAAACTAACTTGAGAATCTTATTTATGTTCTGGTGCTCAGTTATTGATAAATGTTTCCATTTTCTAACCTTTGTCAAGATCTG